CAGGACACCGGCCCTCCAGGACCGAGTTTGGGCACCCCTGACTTAATTGTACTGAATGAGCACTAATTAACAGAATTAAAGGTCCAGCCAAGCTCAAATGCAGGATGGTGTTCACAAAGGATCCAGGTCTCTTAAATATCCAGTTTGTGATTGATAACAGGTGGATCCAATTAACCTGTAAAAATAGAAAGGAACAACAACAGAACCAAAACAAAACCCGCAACATTTCAGTTCTCAAATGTATATTTTTAAAATCTGTACTTGCAGATAATATAACTTTAATGAAATAAAAGACCGCATAGAGACACTTTCATGACTGTTAAACACACTTTTGTAATAATGTCAAATAATGCACAATTTAAGTGCATTTTAAATCATTGTTTTAATCATCTTTTTGTCATGCTTTAAAGAAATACACATGATTTGAATTATAATTTTATCATTTGAATTATAATTTTAACTGTAGAGGTATTCAACATTACATTTAAGGTTAATATATATTAAATGTACTAAATTACAAATATATTTAAATACATGACATTCATGTTTTAATGGAAATGGCATTGAAGTATTTTAGTTCACCATTAATGTTTGTACACTTTAACCATATTTCAAAGGCAATAGACGTAATTATGAAATTAATTACACATGCTTATGTAAAAACTTACTCTTAAGTTCAGCTAATTGCATGTAAAATACATTTAATCTGCAATACATTTTCATTTAATTGCAAATAACATTGTCCGACAGTGTCCAAAAATATTACATTCAGTTCTCACTAGTGTATTAATTTAAAAATATATGATTGCCATAATAAAATAAGCTAAAGTATGCCAAAGTGTATTTCTTTTTCACAAGGGCATTCTTAGGCAAGTGCAGTTCAAAATCTGCTGATTCTCGGGGAATGTGGTGTGACGGTATTTAATAAGGTTCTTACTTATTCAGTGTTGTAACAGGTACATTAAACCTGATTAGGATGTGATTAGAACAGAAAGTGCAACTTTATCAAAGTCTTTATAACCAGTGTAATTTACTTAAATATTTGTTATTCTAATTTATAAGATTCATTGTTAATAAATTATTACATTTTATATAATAATTTATCAGATATAGTTCATTTCTGAATTATTAAGTTAATCAAAGTGAAATGGAACTTCAGACTTAAATACAAGGTTTTTAGTGGCAGCTGATGGGATAAAAGACTCATTTGTTTTTCTGGGTTTAACCTTATTTATGCGATAGATAGATAGATAGATAGATAGATAGATAGATTTTTTGTTTTTGTTAAACCTTCTATTCCATCTTCATTTATACTCCATATGCCTGCTTTGGCTCCTTTTCTCTTGATGCTCATGAAATCTTCTTTCTATCTCTCTATGATCTCCATCCCTTTTATTCTCCATTTGTTGTCCATGATTTCAGCTCTTCTGTTGCTTCATCTGTGGTTGATCTGTTGTCTGTCCCTGTCCACTCTCAGACAGAGAATCCAATTTACAAGAGCCCTATTAATAAATTCAAGAACCCAAACTATGGACGTAAAGCTGTGGCTCTATAAGTTTGTATACCTCTCCTCTTTGTGCATGGCCTTTTTTTCTGTGTGTGTGTGTGTGTGTGTGTGTGTGTGTGTGTGTGTGTGTACCTGACCACCATTTGTTATATATATATATAAAATATTCTATCCTTGAAACAAAATATTGATATATTTATAAATCGAAGTGTTTATGGTATAACTCACTAATCGGCTACAGCATGAGCATCTGACAGTGCTGTGTCATATTTAATGAGCGTTTCACTTAATAATTTGGTTTTCTTCACTCGACATTAATATGTTCATCAAAATATATATGAGTAATATATAGCTGCGTGTGTTGATTTTTTTTTTTTTAACCTTTTTAATTCAAGGTTTATTGCACTTTCTTGGGGTGTAAATGCATTTAGATGACATGTTGAAGTTGAATTGTTCTGTATATTTTGTTTCTTAGTTTTAAAATCAGATTTGTGTGTGTTTCACAGGGAGAGAACCCCATCTACAAGAGTGCCGTCACAACTGTGATCAACCCCAAATATGAAGGCAAATAATGGACATGGGTATCACACACGTGAAGGTTTGGGAAGGGATAGGTTTGCAGATATCCTCAGTTTTCCTTTAAATAGTTTATTTTCTCATTGTATGTTATTCTTTTAGAACAGTATTGTAGCAGTATTTTATGACGGACTGGCTGCTTCCCGTCCCTTGCAAACGTGTACAGTTTGTATAGTCTTTATATTTACATCAGTTTTTCTTCTTTTAAACCCTGTGCACATTCACTCATTCGCTCTTTTCAAACTGAGCAGATATCTGTGCCTTTGCATCAAGTGTTGCGGTGCAAAGGGATCCTTGAATCCCTCCCCAAAAATTGCAAAAACTCATCAAATGCCGTTTAAAATCATATGAATTTTTGTTTATATTCTATCATGTTCTTTCAAACTTTTTCAACAGTCATATATTGGCATAAGAAACTATCTGACTATCAATTGTATGTGATTTTTTTTTTTTTGGGGGGGGGGGAAATGTAAGTTTGGTTTGATATGCTAATAATCTATGCATATTCATATATGCAATTTATTAATTTTTTTTGCGCAAATGTAAGTTTGGTTTGATATGCTAATAATCTATGCATATTCATGTACTGTCAGATGCATCTTGCATTACATGCCAAAAACCTCTGATTTTAGTGTTTGCAACTTATTTCCCACTTATTGTTGCTCTTAGAAAATCATTATGACACGTGTCTTGTGTTTAACTGAAAATGTCTGTGTATTTTATATGTTATGAAGTATTATTTGTTGAATTATTATGTGGCTCTTGATGAGTATCAGTGTATTCAGGTGATATCCTGTAGTTTGTAGCCAAATGTCCTTAAACCGCTCATTAGAAATGAGCACAATTATTGATACCTACAGATTTCAAATATGTTTTCAGTTAGTATATTTTAAATGAAAAAAATATGTTGTAATTTGCATATTATAAATTTGCATATAAAGCTCTTTGTTGTTAAGACAATTATCTGGAAAAAATGAATAATTAAAGTGTAGTTTTGTGTTCATATCATATTCTCAAAGGTACAACAACTCTTTATTTTTAATTATTTTAACCGAACGTAATAAGGAGATGCAGTCATTTAATGCTTAACATAATAAATGTCAAGTTTAAGGATGAGAAATAGATGCTCTGCCACAACACCCAATCTACTAGCTTCAGTAGCTTTTTTTAAGTGCCTTTTTCTGGTTTTCTCAATATTGCAATTTTGAATTTATTTATTAAAACACAATCTAAAAGACCGTGATCATGTCTTTTTTTCAAACTTAGTAGACATCGAAAAGGTTTATGTTAGCATTTTTTAGGGTTACTGATACATGTGCTTATAACAGTAATATTAAGAATTATATGACATTTAAAAAAAAACATGCTTTTCTGAATTAAAATGTAACAATTGCTATTATTATTATTATTATTATTAATGCTTCTCTAATACAACTTCAGAATAGCATACTATGCCATTTTTGCTGTATGAAAACTGTTCACTACATTTTGTATATGCAGCAGGATGATCTAAGATATAATAAAATTACTAAACTCTTTATACAGAAGATTATTTCCCACATGTGCTCAACTGAGGGTTATGAATGGACTTTTTTTAAATGAATTTTAACATCTCTTTCCTGACTCGTTATTTGACTGGATTACCTAAAGTTGACATTTTTTATTACAATTTTGATTAAAAATGCTAAATATCCATATTAATTTCTGAGCTTACCACTCGTTGCATGAAACATGCCACATAAAGGTTTAATGACAACAGTGTAACAAATGATCGTTCCATACTGTTTTACATATAAATACCTGTACATGGAAGTAGTATACAAGTACTCCATTATGAGTGTAAATTAAGTGCAGAAACAGACATTAACCAACAGAGGGCAGCAGCAAATAATAAATACAGCTGCCTAGGACAAACTGCAGTCATAGAGAGAGACAGAAACACAATCACCATTGACTCACTGAATCAGTGAGAGTGGGCCTATTGTACCACTACCCGATTCATTCATAACACACTGTAGACTATGACCACAGAACAATAATTGACAGCTGTATACACAACACACACAGAGCTGTGTTTCACTGTGTTGACACTGGGAGGCCATTTCACCATGTGGTCACATGGAAACCACATGACAGCAAATTGATTAGCTTTATATTAGACACAGCCTCTTACAAATTGTACTAATCTTAATGAGCAAGCACTGGCATGTCAGTAAGTTACTTTTTAATATATAAACGCATTGTTTTTTCCTACCCATGCACACTGACAACACTACATTATGTCTGTATATTACACTTTTTCATATACAAATTGTTTTTCTTTTTCCTTCACATGCGAGCAAAATGAGGTTTTGTGTGACTCTGCTGCAACAACAACCACATATTTACCATCCTTCTCGCTGAGTAATTGATTTCATCTTTGCCATTTCATGATCCATTTGTTTGTATAGTAGTGATTCATACTAACAACTGAAATAAGTTATGATTATGGTTATCATGAGGGTAATGCACATCTGACTCGAGATGTTCTTAGGTACAGCTGTTGATGGTTCTTGCTAAGGATTTATTTAGGGGGGAAAATCTATTAAGTGTCATTGAGCTCATTGCTGTGAACAAGCAAGACTTTGGATCCTCTTGAAGACATCTCATTCAAATATAGCTAATCTCTCAAAGAACCTGCCTCAACCTTCCTTTGTTTGCATGTGTTATGCTTGTCACTTTCCTAATTGTTCATAGATACAACAAATGAAAGAAAACATTTGATTTTAAATAAGTAGCCCTTTATTGAGTGTTTTTAGCAGCAACATATTGCTTTCACAAAATGAAACGTTTACAAATCTCATGTAATCCTTGACTAGCGTTATCTGGGATATCGAATAAAAGACTTAAGACTTTTAGATCATTTTTAAGATTGTCAGTAATGCCCTTTAAAGTGCAAATGCCCATATTTTCCTAGTTATTTTGAACCAAGATGGTCTCTTGAAATTCGATATCAGTTTTCTGAAGAAAACTAGTAAGATTTAGTAATAAGTAAAAGAATAGTTCACCCAAAAAGAAAATTCTTTCATCTTATTTACCACTTCTATGGAAAAAGCAAGTAGTACATTATTAAAAGTTTTAAAGTTTACATTTAACCATGTAATGGACGGACTCCCTAAAGAGCTTTTATAGAAAACACAACATAAATCAATCCAAATAAACATAGTTCAGACAGCTAGAAAACACCAGCTTACTGGTGATGTACAGTGACAATATAATGCATCTCTTTCATGTGATAAATATTATGCTATATGTCATGTCGTTTTTTTTTAATTACAAGAGCATGGTACAGCTCTGCACGAAGCAACATTACGCACCAGATGTGTCTCAAAACCTAAGGACCTTCCTTTGACATGCTACTGCCAAAATTGTGAGTGTTGTGTCAGTCTGATGTGCGGTGCACTATTTGCATGACATGTAACTGCTACTAATGTGCTTGCCTATAAATTCCATCTTAAATCAGTTACAAGGTTAGGCTTAAGATGCTGTTTATGTGTCCATTAATATCAAACCTCGCTCCTGTAGGGCCTCCATCCTGAAGTTTAGTTCCAACCTGCTCCAGCACACCTGTCCAGAGGTTCTTAGTAATCCTGAAGAACTTTATTAGCTGGTTCAGATGTGTTTAATTAGGTTTACAGCTAGACCAGTGGTCTCAAACTCAATTCCTGGAGGGCCACAGCTCTGCAGAGTTTAGCTCCAACCAGCTCCAACTCACACCTGCTTGGAAGTTTCTAGTAATCCTGAAGATTTTGATTAGCTGGATCAGGTGTGTTTGATTAGGGTTGGAGCAAAACTGTGCAGAGCTGTGGCCCTCCAGGAAATGAGTTTGAGAACACTGAGCTAGACTCTGCAGGAAGATGGCCCTTTATGAGCAGAATTTGACACCCCTGAGTTGCCCCAGAATTGCAGTATACAGCAAGCCGACTCACTAGGTCAGAGGTGTGCAATCCTGCTCCTGGAGGGCCACCTTCCAGCAGAGTTTAGCTCCAATCCAAATTAAAATGAAATCTGAACAAGCTTATCAAGGTCTTTACAAACTTCTTAGCAGGTGTTTTGGAACTAAACTCTGCAGGACAGTGTCCCCCTAGGAGCAAGGTTTGAGACCCCAGAGTAGGCAGGAGACCAGTGTTTCCCAAGCTTGTTAGTGGAGACACAGTACATCAGCTCAACAGCTCATAAATAGATACTCCAAGACTTGAAATTCATTGGTCAGATAAGGGAGACATCCAAAATGCATACTGTTGGTGTGCCTCCAGGAACAGGGTAGGGAAACACTGCAGTAGACTGCAAGTCAACTCATTAGGTCAGGTGTGTTCAATCCTGCTCCCGGAGGGCCACCTTCCAGTAAAGTTTAGCTCCAACCTGAATTAAACACATCTGAACAAGCTTATCAAGGTAGAACATTCCTGGCAGGTGTGTTGGAGATAATCTCTAAACAAAACAGAAGCTAAACAGAACAGTGATTCTCCAGGAGCAGGGTTTGACACCCGAGTTGCTCCAGTATTTCAGACGGCAGAAGACCAGTGCTTCCCAACAGTTCATGGAGACACAGTACACATTATTGAACTCTTTCTAGTCAAACACACCTGATTCAACTCATCAGCTCATTGGTAGAGACTCCCAGAACTGAAATAGACAGGTCAGATAAGGAAAACATTCAAAATGTGCCTTCAGGAACAACGTAGGGAAACACTGCAGGAGACAGCGAGGGAACTCACTAGGTCAGGGGTGTCCAATCCTGCTCCCGGAGGGCCACCTTCCATTAAAGTTTAGCTCCAACCCAAATTAAATACATCTGAACAAGCTAATCAAGGTCTTTAGGATCACTAGAAACTCCTGGGCAGGTGTGTTGGAGCTAAACTCTGCAGGTCAATGGTCCTTCAAGAGCAGGTTTGACACCACTGATTTGCACCAGAGTTGCAGAAGACCAGTGTTTCCCAAGTCAGTTCATGGAGACAAAGTACTCATTTTCAAACTCTTCCTAATCAAACATATTTGATTCAACTCATCAGCTCATTAGTAGAGACTCCAAGACTTGAAATGGATGGTCAGATAAAGGAGACATCCAAAATGTGTACTGTTGGTGTGCCTTCAGAAACAGGGTTGGGAAACACTGCAGTAGACATCGAATTGATTCATTAGGTCAGAGGTGACACGTCTGCACCTGAAGGGCCACTGTCCTGCAGAGTTTAGCCCCAACCCAAATTAAATACATCTGAACAAGCTAATCAAGGTATTTGGCCTTACTAGAAACTTCTAGGCAGGTGTGTTGGAGCTAAACTCTGCAGGACAGTGGTCCTCCAGGAGCAGTGAGTTGCTCCAGAATTTCAGTAGGCCAATGTTTCCCATGCATGTTTGTGGAGGCACAGTACACATTTTCAAACTCTTCCTAATCAAAGATATCTGAATAAACTCATCAGCTTGATAGTAGTGACTCCTAGGCCCGGTTTCACAGACGGGGCTTAGCTTAAGCCAGGACTAGGCCATAGTTCAATTAGGATTTTAAAGTAATTTTTATAAACATACCTTAGAAAAAAACATCACTGGTGTGCATCTTGAGACAAAACAAGGGCACTGACATATTTCAAGTCAATCAGTGCAAGTTTCTTTCAGTTGAAACTGCTCAGACTTACATTTTAGTCAGGGACTAGGCTTAAGCCTTGTCTGTGAAACCGGGGGCTAGACTTGAAATGGATGGGTCAGATAAAGGAGACATCCAAAATCTGTACTGTTTGCGTGCCTCCAGAAACAGGGTTGGGAAACACTGCAGTAGATGACAAGTTGACTCACTAGGTCAGGTGTAACCTATTCTGCACCTGGAGGGCCACTGTTCTGCAGAATGTATCTTTAACATGAATTAAACACAAGCTAATCAAGGTCTTTAGGATTACTAGAAACGTCTGGACAGGTGTGTTGGAGCTAAACTCAGCACAACATTGATCCTTCAGGAGCAGGGTTTGACACCCTTGAGATGCTCCAGAATTTCAGTCGGCAGGAGACCAGTTTCCCAAACCTGTTTGTGAAGACAGTACACATTTTCAAACTCTTCATTGGATGGAACAGATAAGGGAGACATCCCAAATGTATACTGTTGGTCTGCCTCCAGCAACAGGGTTAGGAAACACTGCAGTAGACAGCGAATTGATTAACTAGGTAAAGAATGTCCAGTCCTGCTCCTGGAAGGCCTCTGTCCTGTAGAGTTTAGCTCCAACCCAATTTAAACACATCTGAACCAACCAATTACAGTCAGGATTACTAGATTACTTTCGGTCAGGTGTGTTGGAGTTAAACTCTGCATGAGTGGCCTTCCAGGAGAAGGACTAAGCCAGGGGTCACCAGACTCGGGCCTGGAGGGCAGGGGTGCTTCTCAATTCTTATTTGTGCATCCTCGCTTCCTTTCCTTGCGTCTTAGCTCCAACCCTTCAGGATGCGAGTGAAGGACGCAAGGAAAATACACTTAATACTTACATTTATGTGTGTTTGTATTTTCTGCCATGGTTAGCACTTGGTGCAGATGTGAAGGGGGAGGATAATGTATATGTGCTTCACGTTTAGTCGATAAAAGACTTCCGCAAAGGATACATCTGTGTATCCTCACTCACCTCCTTGGGTGCAATTAGAGAATTGAGATATGTCCTGCAATATGGCTGAGCTCGATCGGTTTCCAAGGCTGCGTTCCAGCCTTCACTTCCCTAAGCACTTACCCTCGGGGGAATCCCCACCACCATTTTGAAGTGAGTTCCACTTCATCAAGTGGACAAGGGAAGTTTACATGGACATACCCTCGACCCCTCGATTTTGACAGAGGGAGCGAGTCTGCTTCATATGCACACTTCAGGCCGCTCTGTAGACCACAGTGCAACACGGCTATGACGTCATCGCAGATCACGCTTAATTTATCCCCACCCCAAACAACTCTATAATATATAATTTTTTTGTTTGTTTTTACATTTATAACAGCCCAAGCATATTTATAAACATATAGAATGCTGCACCAAACAATTTTATAAGGGGAAACATGTTAACAATAAACCAACTCCATAGCTGATTCTAAGTGATCAAGGGCTTAGGACGTTCCAATTCAGCCCATTTCAAGGGTTCCGCCAATAGTGGGCACTCATGCAACGTAATCAATGACCTACATCCGAGTAAACGAAACGGAGGGAAGTTAGTGAGTAAAGGGCATAAAAAAAGTGAACTGGAATGCAGCCAAAGTCATAGGATGGAGGACGGAGGAGCGAGGAAAAGAGGAGGGATATTGAGAAGCACCCCCGGTGTCCTGCAGAGTTTAGCTCCAACCCTAATTAAACACACCTTAACCAGCTAATCAAGGTCTTACTAGGTATACTTGAAACTTCCAGGCAGGTTTGTTGAGGCAAGTTTGGATCAAGTTTGGTGACCCCTGCACTAGGTTTTGAGACACATCCACCTTGTTGCATCTCATCAGGCAGTCATAGGAATGCAAAAAGTATAAACATCTCTTTTTCAGAGGTTGACACCTCTTGGCGTCCCCAACCTGTCCCCTCAGTAGAAAGCAGGTATGGTGTGTTCGATTATACAGCGTCTGCAGTGCTGTCGGACCAGTCGAAGTGCCTCAGGTGGCACCTCACACTCCTGTACGTTTAGTAACTGCAGCTCGGGACATCCCACTGCTAGCGCCATGAGCCCTCTCCCTGTCAAACTCTCGCAGCCCCTCAGACTCAGCCTTCGTAGCCCTTCACAACAACGTGCTAACACCTCCAGCCCAGTGTCAGACACCAGTGGACAGCGTCCAACATCTACAGACCGCAATCGGGAGCAGTTGCGAGCTAAGTGGCTCAAACCCTGGTCTGTTAGCCCCTCGCATCCCCGCGCATTCAGGTAGCGGAGCCGCGGACAGTAGCGTGCTACATAACGCAGTCCAACGTCTGTTATGCGCATACAATGCGCCACGCTCAGATAGCGTAGACGGCCCTCGAGGCGAGCGACCTCACGTAAGCCAAAGTCTCCAATCAGACGGCAGTCGCTGAGGCTAAGCTCACGTAGAGCGGTGCAGTGCAGTGCTAGCTGTCGCAGGGCCTCATCTGTTAGCCAGCTGCAGCGCCGCAGGTATAGGTGTGTGAGACGCGGACAATGAAATGCAATGGTTCTCAAGCCTTCGTCCTCCAGTGATACACAGTCTGTCATGTCCAGGTACTGCAGGCCGATCTGCTGTCCATGAAGAGGTGTGAGCTGTAGAGACGCCTCCTCCGTCAGGCTGATACAGGTCACTTTAGGGCAGCCTTAGGAAAAGGGAGGAGATATTATCATAATTACAGTTTATGACTAGAACAGTTAAAGGGATAGTTCACCGAAAAATGAAAATTCTGTCATTAATTACTCGCCCTCATGTCGTTCCAAACCTGTAAGACCTTCGTTCATCTTCGGAACACAAATTAAGATATTTTTGATGAATTCTGTATGCAACGTATGTACGCGGATACGTTGTTTATGTTCAAATCAAAGCGTAAACAATGTATTCGCGTACATAAGTTGCATACGTTGTTTATGAATGTGATACTCTCCAAAATGGCACTATAGGGTGACGCGGAGGAGACAAATTGTTGAATAAAGTCGTTATTTTTGTTTTCTTTGTGCACAAAAGGTATTCTCGTAGCTTCATACAATTACGGTTGAACCACTGATGTCACATGGATTATTTTAACGATGTCTTTACTATGTTTCTGGACCTTGATCATGTTAGGATCCTTGCTGTCTATGGGAGGGTCAGAGAGCTCTCGGAATTCATCAAAAATATCTTAATTTGTGTTCCGAAGATGAACGAAGGTCTTACAGGTTTGGAACGACATGAGGACGAGTAATTAATGACAGAGTTTTAATTTTTGGGTGAACTATCCCTTCAAGTTCTTTAGGACAAACTTTGAATATCTGGTTGTTAAGTCTGATCCCACGCGTTACCATTACCAGGTCTGACCAGAAAGGGTACTAATATAAAATATTCTCAACTGAAATGTACTAGAGTCTTGGACCCGGAAATGGTGTTCGATACGTCAAGGCTTAACAAATGGATTGGCTTGAGAAAGCCTTGCTTGACAACTAAAAAAGGTTTATATAAATTTCAGAGTAGCGACAGATCTTTTCTTCCATATTGTGACATACTGTATATTAAAGTGAAACGGAGTATCGAAAAGGAATAAATGTATGGCGGGGACTTAGTTCTGTCTATCGATTGTTAATTGGATGGACTGAATGGAATTTTGCAGTTGATTGTAAGAAAGGGGTGGGGTTTAGGCTAACAAAATGATTGGAGTCCGACATATGACATCAGAGAAAAGTCTGTAATTTCACTGAAAGATCGAGTTATATTATAATTGAAAAATACAAACTCGATTCTTCATTTTTTATTTTTTAAATGAAACATGCATGGATGATTGGTTCAAAATAAGACCAATAAGATGCATTGAAAAAAAAAATCCATTTCATGTCGACTTAAAGATAATAGACATCAGGTAAATTAAATAAGTGGGCATTGCTGATTGCTGAGATTTCTGGGTGGCTTTTAAGATATTGCTAGGCTTGACATCAGGGGTGCACATAAGTGGTACGCAGGTGCGCATGCACGACCAAAATAAAAAATGCGCTTTGTAAATAAGTTCAGACTGCTCATTTGCATTGACAGCTGTTACCATGCACATTACCATTTTAGATTGACAAACTGTAATACTGTATAAGATTTCTATTCAAACTGAAACCATAAATCTAGGCTATCTGTGTTGTTTTCAAAGCACAATGCAAAACATTTCAGGACATTTCATTCACAGACGCTCTTCAGTCAGAAGCAAGCTTGCTGATTTTAAGTTTGAAAATGTATATGTTTGAAAAATATAAGCATTTTATTTTTAAGTCTACTATAAACATTTTTTATTTAATACTCCCTTTTTATTTTAAAATATAATAGTATTATCACTTTATTATTTTGTTTATTATTTATTTAAAAAAAACTAACTAAATAAAGTGAAATAATATTATCATCACTATTATTAATACATTTTTATAGTTATATTTAATGGGTCACACAATGGCAATGTAAGAACCAAACCAAATCTCCAGGTACTCCAGGCTGAAAAACTTATTAACTTATATTATGCTAAATTAATACAAATTATAACTATAAGCTGTGTTCTGTCCACTGTACAGTTTAAACTATGTTCTGTCCACATAACTGTTCTGACCTTTTAAAACGGGGCCATTATTTACTCTTCCTGTCGTATATAAAAGCCATCAGACCATTTCTTGTTTTTTTAAGATGTCCTTAAGCATTTGTTTTGATCCTTTTTCAAGCAATAAATCAAGATCCTGCACTGGAACTGCAAAGACCGCTGAATAAAAAGGAAATGTCACATAGGAAACAGGAAAACAGTCTAATAAAATTACTTTAAAATTCTGAAATTTAGAGTCTACATCAGGTTTTCAAATCGAGGTGAATGAATAAAATACAGTGAATATAGGCCAAATAAAATAGGACAAAACAGAGAGAAATAATAAAGAAATAAAACCCAGAAACCTTATATGGAACAAAAACCAGGCAGTATCTGTTTTTGCTCCTATTACAGTTATACTACCTGCTTTTAAAAGTAAATGTAACCGCAAGAAATTTAGGATACGTTTGCAACAAAGGCCGTATTACTTGTGGAAAGCAGAATGCATGCTGTGCCCTCTGCATGATGAATAACTGTACAGTGTGTGACTCGTACAATGAACTCAGCAGACGGACTCCTACTCTTTGGTTGAGGTTAGAAGTCCATCTTTCAAAGTCGAGCAGACCTCACCTTCCTCCAGAGAAAGACTGGCAGCGATTCCTAGATCCCATAATGTTTTTCCCAGAAAAACTTCACCACTTTGAATTACTCCCTGAATAAATCCACAACCAAACATGGCTTTCTGATGCTTAATGGCAGCTAATTCATCACAAGAGCTCTTGAAAGTAATCAAGACATAACATGTTTTACTCGTTGACCAGGTAATGGATGTGCCATGCAAATGCATATGATAAATAAACATATGATAAATGCACATGTGGTGCAATACTTAGAATTCTGAAAATCTTAAAAATCTCATGCAAATCTACAACAATGTGTGGTATAGTGGTATATAATATCTCACCTCAAGAAGTATGAGATTTACGAAAAATAAATAAATATGAATCGCAACTGGGTGAAGAAATGTCCAGAGGTTATACTTCACCCCAAAGTAAAAAAAAACCAAATATAATTTGCATTACGTTTCATGGATTTTTATTTTTTTTTGCACTGTGCCATTTTTTTATTTCAATTTTCAATCAAGTTTCCATAACCCAAAGTGATTCTAAAATAGGCTTAATTTTCTTGTAAAATATAATTTCTAATTTTCTCTTTTCAATTGAAATGAAATATTTTCCTCTTATCATATATTCTTGACCAATTATTATTCAGAATATTCAGAGGCCATGTTTCACCTCAAAATTAAAAGGCAAAAAGAAAAATAAATTGCTTTTTTTCCCACTTCATTTCAATTTTAATTTTTTCCCCAATTCTCATTACCATAATGTAAATTCCCTGCTGAAAACCAACCCCTTTTCAAAACCATAATTATTTAATGATGCACATACATTACATATTATTAAATATATTATGTATAATGAATACTGACATAATATATCAACATTTTTCACTAAGAGAATTCAAATAAAATAAATGTCATAAAATATGGTAAAATAAAGGTCCTAAAATAGGCTTAATTTTCTTGTAAAATGTAATTTCTAATTTTCCCTTTTAATTGGAATAAAATATTTTCTTATCACACATTCTTCACCCAAAGAAATATTCAGAGGTCATGTTTCACCCCAAAATCAAAAGACAAAACTAATATAATTTTTTTTTATTTTTTTTTTTAATGTGAACTCAATTTCTCATTACCATTATGTAAATGCCCTGCTGAAAAGACAAAATTGCCACAAATTTTTGAAACCATAATTATTTAATGATGCATTTTTAAAGGTCCTAAAATAGGCTTTATTTTCTCCTAATTGCCTTTTTTCAACTGGAGTGAATAATTTACTTTTATCACGTTCTTGACTGGTTTTATGAGATTCACCCAACTGGCTTCACCGACTAGAAAGTCTGTCAACATTACCTGATACGTCTAGATGTTCCAGATTGGGACACTGGGATACCACATCAAACACTGCTTCGTTAGACACATTATAGCAGCCTGCAACCTCCAAACGCCGCAGTTCTGGACAGCACTGAGCGAGCACACGCAGCCCTCGATCAGACAGCCTCCGGCAGCCGCTGGCCACCACAGTCTCCAGGGTCAGACAGACGTTGGGAGTGTCCTGACACAAGCGATGGGTGAGCACTTTGAGGGCTCGGTCAGCGCTCAGCAGCTCTCCGGTCAGACGGATGGTGCTCCAGAGCCGCGGGTCCCAGGCCAGGTTATACCAGCGGCGACTCACTCGAGCGCAGCGGCACAGCTGAGGGGTGCACAGGTAAGACAGGACCTGTAATAAAACGGGGTCGGGCAGGGTATCGATGAGGGCGGCGGGAGGAGCTCTGGAAGGCCGTGAGCGAGAGCCTGGAGGCGGGTGAACCAGCGCCACTGTTTCGCCAGTGACGGTACAGGCCGTGGAAGACGTTTCATGGCCGTTTGGGACTGTTTGAGGAGGGTTTGACTTCAGAATGAGAGCGGGACTGGGAGTGCTGAGCGTCCTCATGCTCAGGTCCGAATCTGAAAGAAAAAGAAAAATCACGTCCGTCGAACGTTTTTTTATGTTTTTTAAAGAAGTCTCTTCTGCTTACCAAGCCTGCATGTATTTGATCCAAAATACCGCAAAAGCAGTAATATTGTGAAATATTTTTACTATTTAAAATAACTGCTTTATATTTGAAAATATTGTCAAATGTAATTTATTTCTGCGATCAAATCTGAATTTTCAGCATCATTACTCCAGTCTTCAGTGTCACATGATCTTCAGAAATCATTCTAATATGCTGATTTGCTGCTCAAGAAACGGACTATTATTATTATTATTATTATTATTATCAATATTTAGAACAGTTGAGTATTTAAAAAAAATACTCGGCTGTTTTCAACATAATAATAATGATTATGTTTTTGAGCAGCAAATCAGCATATTATACTGATTTCTGAAGATCATGTGACACTGAAGACTGGAGTAATGATGCTGAAAATACAGCTTTGATCGCAGAAATAAATTACATTTTACAATATTTTCAAATATAAAGCAGTTATTTTTAATAGTAAAAATATTTCACAACATTACTGCTTTTGCGGTATTTTGGATCAAATAAAAGCAGGCTTGGTAAGCAGAAAAGGATTCTTTAAAAAAACATTAAAAATCTTACTGTTTAAAAACGTTTGACTGGTAGTGTATTTCAACTACACATCGCTGAGATTAAAATCTAAAGCAAATGCATGTCAGATTTGAGAACGACCAAAGTATTCTCACATAAGAAGAATTTCTATTGAATGCTGTCTTATACTCTAAATAAAGATTTAAAATAATGTAACTTATTGTATAAAGGTAAAAGAGAACCTGATTCTTGTTAGGAGAGAATCTGATAATGCATTAAATGTCTAGAAGCTCAAAGGATCTCAAATATGGAAGCCATCAGCTGGTTTGAGAAACGCGTTTAGCACAAATGGTGTTAACTCAAGCGACGCTCTCGGGCTCTTTGTTCTCAAAACTGTTTCTGATATCTGGTTATTGGACGCTGATAAAAGTGTCAAGTTTATCTCAAATGCACTTGAAGTGCTTGCCACGCTTGAGTCTGCATTAATGGTTGCATTAAAGGTTTAGCTCAAAATGTTGTCCTGGGTTTGATTCCTAAGGTTCAGATGTTAGACTCAATGTGCTTGTATAAAACATCTGCAAAGATTTAATATATCCCACAATGCATTGCACTCGACTTGACCTTGCATTTCCAATGTGACATACGACCCTCTCAAAAGCAACATCAACCACAATTTTTAACATTTTTGAATTGACAAGATTTTGGGATGTTTTAGGCCAAATGAAACATTACACATTCATTACACAAAATAACTGTTTTTACTTACAGATGCTAACTAGGCGCCCACTGACTAATTTAAGTTTACGCATACTGAGATGACATCACATGATGAACATAACGAGGTCACGTGACAACAGTGTAGTTCACCCACTACTCATCTTTCTTTCTTTAAACACAAAAGAAGGTTTCGAAGAATGTTGGTCATTAAAGGGTTGACGGTAGCCATTGACATCCATAATATTTTTTTTCCATACTATGGAAGTCAATGGCTACCGTCAACTTGGTGTGGTTATCAACATTGTTCAAAATGTCTTCTTTTATGTTCAACAGAAGAAAGAAATCCATGTATAAAAACAACATGATGATGACAGAATCATTTAGAAAAATGAGAGAAACTCCAGTGATTTCAATAGGAATTCATGCAGTGGGGAAAGTGACTAATGCGTTTCACTAATGTGACTGTACTATAATGCATACTACTTTGTTTTAGATTCATTGTTTACTGAATATTACGCTTGATTCATTCCACATAGTTTCAAAGTGAGCACATATTATAGGTAAATAAATAGCAATATGTATAAATTATAAATCACAAAGTAACCGTTAAATGCAGTTACGCAACTGATGTCTCGCCACTGACTTACAATTAATTACAATCTTTTCTCCTCAGGTCAGTGTGGGGCTGAACAGTTTTACTGTGTAGATTTCCATTCAGGAAACTGGTTCATAAGCCAGTCAGAAACTGAAAGATAATGAGGAGAAATATTAAGGGGGAAAAACGTTTATATTAAGCTCTGTCTTCCCTTGCTCTCTATTTCACGTCCTTGTCAAGCCTCCTCCACAAAAATGAGCACAAAGGATGAGAGAATGGGAGCAAAACATTTCCAAAGGCTGTCTTTAGGGTTCATGGATTCCCATCCCTAAACTCTCGATTAATAGCTCTGTGCTGAGGAAGTGAGGGTTTATGTGAAATGATGGTTTCTGTACAGGACATTTTCTTTAGGAAGGAACTTTGGTGGCTCACATCCCTCTGACATGATGGATTAGTCGAAGCAGGATTTTCCTCTGCAAGCCATTTTTTGCATGCAAGATTGCATTTATAAACGCTACATTAACAGTCTTCGGTGTATATCTTTTATTCCAGATGAAGCGCTGCAAGAAGAATTTAATACACATTATATGGCCAAAAGTATGTGGACGGCCATTTCTAATTTACGGATTTGGCGACTTCAGCTCCATGCACCAACAGGTGCAGAAAATCCAACGTACAGCCACACAGACTCCTTACACAAACATTTACAGTACAAGGATCGGAACAAAAAGCTCAATGATTATGAATGTGGCACTATCACAGGAAGCCACCAGCAATGTATTGAACGAAAGCAGGCAAGAAATGTAACAAGTACTATGAAACCAGTGCACAAATCTTAAAGGAGGCATATTATGCCCCTTCTTACAATATGTAATATAAGTCTCTGGTGTCCCCAGAATGTGTCTGTGAAGTTACAGCTCAAAATACTCCACAGATCATTTATTATATCATTTTGAAAATGCCTGTTTTGAGTGGAAGCAGAACACGCTGTTTTTCGTGCCTGTCTCTTTAAATGCAAATGAGCTGCTGCTCCCCGCCCCCTTTTCCAGAATAGAGCTGCGCCATTACAGCTCGTACCTGCTACAACACATCTGTTTTGGCTCTGATTATCATGTTTATCGCGCTGAAATCATGCGTTTTAAACCATATGAGTTTAAACTTCTGATATACGGTTTTCTGAGCGCACACATCCGAAGCACACGCACAGAAAGTGGCTGTCACAGCATGTGAGGACTAAACTAAGCTCTCATTCACACACAGGTTTACGTTAAAAACACACGTGTTGCAAAAAACAGTCGGTTATGTTTGTGAAGGTAAGCAGCTGGGAAATAAATCGCATGTTTATTTTAGATCTGTGTGGCAGCAGCAATATACGGTAAATAAATCAATAAATGCACTGCTCTGTTGTCTCCTCTGAGGCTGGGACTCTAAACAGTGTTCT